GCTCGAGATGAAAAATCGGTACAGATGAACACACAGGCACACACACAGACAACCTCTCGTCAACATACGTTTTCTGCATTGCATAGCTGCAAAAAACGCATTAAAAAAACATACATATCTTGGCCGGGTTCGATATTTGGCAAATTCAGTTTCGCAAGTCGTGGGAAATCCATCTCTTCCAGAACTTGCCATTCCGGACGTACGGCAATACTGGCCGCTAGCTGCTTCTGATTACGCTGGTCCCAACGACCATAGCCCATCCCACCACGACCACGTCCACGAGCACCACCTCCACGTCGTTGCCACTGCTTGAAGGCTTTTTGCTGCTCCCTGGAAATAAAACAGAAATGTATTTCGAAATAAAAAAAAAAAGAGAATAAAAGAGGAATTAGCAAAATTAACAAAATCATAATAATGGCAAGAAATGTTCTGGTCCATTAAGTCGTCTACATTTCTTACCATTACCACAATTGGACCTCGTCAGCACGACGACTGTTGTAATTGTAACTGTCATAAATCTGATATAATTAGTTCTTATATTAACCTAGCAGTATTAGTTAAAGTAATAAAAATAAGCTGGCATCTTACCGAACATGGGTTCATTTGGCTCCATACCCATGAAATTCGACAATTTATGGAAGTACCTCTTCCTCGAAAAAGGGAACTATCGACAGTTCTGCCAGCAACTTGAATGCCTCCGCCACACACACACACACACGCACACATACACACACACACACAAACAAAATGTGAAAAAAGAGGATGGAGCAGCCCAAGAGGGAAGGAGAATTTTGAATTCCCAAACAAACACTTGCTTTCCCCCCTCGTATTTCCCTTCTTAAAAATCGATAGCAAAGAAATCAGTTCACAAAACAAAGGCATTCACCGAACTACATCCAACTTTTCAACAAAGGGAGGCGACATATTCCAACTAGGCAATTTGTGCCTCATTTTTTTGAAAAATTTGAAAAACCCTTTTTTGGCAATACCCGGAAAAAATCATCGTTTTTGGTCAAATTATTCACATTTTTAAATCAATTCAGTGCTTGAAAGCTAATTTTAAGTGTTCCTTTTGGTTAAATTGAACAGCAAATACTTGATTTGTGTACGTTTCATCATGCCTGAATGATTTCATCATCTCTTAAATAAGAATACTGCGGGCACCGAATTCCTGCACTCTTTAAGACAAACCCCTGGAATTATTAGTAATGCTTAGACATCCCTGTATTTCTAAAATACCAAAGGTAGCTTACTTTGCAATACTTCGTTTAATCTTCTGGTTTTGGCCATAATTTGTTTGAATCCTTCGCTCATTCTCTTTCTGCACGAGTCGTCGCTGCAAAAAAATAAAGATTACGTGGGATTACCGGCCAATTTGCCTTTTTTGTCAGCTTTTATACATGTATATACATATATAACCTTAAATGTGCCACAATATGCAGCTCAAGATCAAACGGCCTGGCAATAGCTGCGCCCGACTGTGGTAGCATTCTTGTAATAGCACTAACATTTTGGCGGGCTCGTACGTGGGTACCACGCAGGTGAGGGCGCCCATTTTGGGGATTGGGGCCCATACATGCATGCAGATTAAGTTCTCACAGCTTCAGCCCTGTAACTTTTGTAGGTCTTGAGATGGAAAATCGGTACAGAAGCACACACAGACATACAGACAACCCCTCGTCAATATGCGTTTTCTGCATTGCATAGCTGCAAAAAACACATAAAAACACAAACAGTGGCACAAACAAAAACGGCAAGACTATAGGCGAACCCAGGGAGAGGGGTGAACTTCTCCAGTGGCACAGGTTCCAGCGCTGCAATAGCCTGGGTCTGTCCATAAATAAAACTAAAGTAACTTTAAGCAGCAGCTTTACAACTCTATCCCTAGTTTTTGCGTAATTCCAAAAGTCCGTCCCACTCATGGTTCCACTCCTCCCCCCCCCCCCCCCCCCCCCCCCCCCCCCCTC